TTTGACAATTATCCAACTTATATGTCAGTTTTATAAATCCACCCTAATATAACATAGCAGTACTTGGCATTTATTGTGGCTAAGTATAATCTAAGTGTAGTGCCAAAACTCTTCCTACATATTCCCATTCACAATAAATTGTTTGGATAACAGCCTGTGTCTTGAAGTGAGCAATGTACCTGGCTTTAAATTCTAGTCCTGAGTTTTTCTCCCAATAATTGGTGACCTATGGTAGATGGCTTATTTGTTCTATAATTCAGTTTATTCTACTTAAATAAAAAGATAATGCCAATGATCACCTCATAAAATCACTGTGGTGATAGATTGAAGCAACATTATGTATGATACCTTAATTAGAGTGGTTCAATTTATAAATTGTCAAAATCTTACAATGGTTTATAAGTGACATGAATTCAGCAAAAGATACACTTCAAAATTTGAGCTTTGATATTTTCTACAGAAAACATTATGTGTTGTGATAGCCTTTTGCAATGCTGGTTATAGCCCTACTCAACTATGCATAAAGAGTGGAGATAGCATTGTGAGGACAAGAGGACTGAGTTTCCCTAGAGGTGGGGTGGGATTATATTCCTCTTCTTTCCTGAAACCTTCCTTGACCAACTCAACCAGAAGGGCTCTCCCCCTCTTAGCATCTGAAAGCTAGGAGATTATGCCATGTCTAAGATTTAAAAGGTCTAACTGTAAAATTCTATTAGAAACCATCACATTCCTAAATGATCATAGGCAGTGGGATGTCTATACCCTTAGAATATGGACAACAAGAAGCCACCATATCTATACCATCTGGTATTGATTATCACCATGTATTTGAAGTTCTGAACAATGTCCATGGTAAAACATTCCCCATGAGAGTATTTTTGCTTTAAGTTTTAACTAATTAATATGTTACCATTGAGTTTTAGCAATATGTATGTAATTTGTGAGTTAATATGCTTGCAAAATTTTATCCTCAGAAGAAATTTCACTCTACATTAAAGATAACTCAGAACTGCCCCGCTGTAGAGCTGGCCTTGAGCACAGATGAGTTCAACTCCTTTTGCTCACTTTAAGCATTATACTCGGAATCACTGGAATGTAATTCTGGACAGTATCCCCACATTCCTTGTAATAGTACATATTCCTAAAACATTGGTGACTTTATTTTATATGTATCATCATTTTATTATTTGTTTCCTTTTGCGATTTCAGAAAATGTATTTTTCATAAGGAGATAGCAGCTGTTCAAAATAATACAACCCAATCTTCTCATTATTTAAACACCAGCTGGTTGTCCATTTGTATGTAGAATTCATATAGAACATACCACACAAGTAGCTTTTGGAAGACTTTTTCAGAGGCTTTTCCACTTCTAGTGGCTCCCAAAGAGATATGTTATATGAAATCCTGGGGGTGGTAGGTATTTTTGTTGTCTTTAATGCATGTGCTTTCATTATTTGTTGAAAATTCCCTATTAGATATGAATGTTTGAGAAAAGCAGCAGGAACAATAATACGAAGGACAAAGTGACTGGGAGTTGGCAGATAAGTCAGAGATAAAACCAGCTGTGATTGTTTCCTTATCAGAGAATATTTTCTTGAGAAGACAATCCAGTGAAGAGTAGCTGTGTGTCACGTAATTGATTGGCATATTTAGAGACAGGCAGAAAGAAACTGGCAGCTTCCTTGCCAGATAAAAAATTACAACTGTGACATCTGACTCAGTGGATCATTCTTGACCTACTAACATCAGTTATATGCTTTGAGGATAAGAAGAAAAAAACCCTGCCTTATTTGCATACAGAGTGACTATTATTATTTTCTATTGCTGAAAAAGCATCCATCTTCTATTTATTCTAACTTTCAAAAAATTCTGTGCCAGATAATATGATTGTCAGTCACCTGTATGCCACTGAGATAAATAGTCGGAAGCTACAATAATGTTTCTGTCATTGCATTCCGAATCAGTGATGCAGTCAAGGCTAATCACAAGCTCTTTTCCACATGTGTTTCATGTGCTCCTCTCAAGGGTATAGTTGTAGAATGCTAAAGACAGTCAGTAAGTTTGACTGCGCTATTACCATGAGGTAACAGTTCTCTGGCTGAATGGAAGGGTAATACATTTCAGTGGGAACAGTCTTTGTGGACTAGGCAGAGTTTCACAGTCACACACTGAGGGAATTGTGTGTGTGTGTGTGTGTGTGTGTGTGTGTGTGTGTTGAGAGTTAATACTTAAGAACTTTCCTATTTTTATAGTTCAATGTGTATCTCATTTTGAAGAAATTGAGAGTTGGTTAGATGGTTCCAAGTGTCTTTTCCAAGTACACACACTGTACTGTGACTGGAAATAACTATGTTAAATAAATGTTCTCAGTTTTCAGCAACTCCATGCCTTTTATATGTCTACCCAAGTTGGACATCATATTTTTCCCTTCATGGATAGGAAAAGTTTCAATGTCCCCCAACTGTGCTTATCCTGTTCATTGTGGAACAACCAATTATCTTTATAACTTCCAGAAAGTCTTGATCCTGCTATGTATCAGTTCCTTGAATCTGCTGTGAGACTATTGAACTAATGAGAAGACTTTGTTTTTTCACTTCATCAGACCCTAATATCTCAACAGTCTCTGCTCTGATGGTCAAGGGCTGTCCATACACTGAAGGGCAGCTTGGCTTCTAGGAAAGCACACCAGCAGCTCAGGCCAAGTGCTTTGTACCTGTGTATAGTGTTACTCTCCTATTGTTGCTCATGTTTATTTCCCATATGAAGGCAAATTCCACAAAGATAGATGTAATTTCTAATTCCCATACCCAACAATGAGGACACAAGACTCCTTCTAACCTTGCTTTCAAGCTTGGCTTCACTTGAAGGGAAATAGAGTGGTACATAATAGATTTATTTCGAAAAAGTCTTTATCATTACATAATTGTCCCATAAATTGAACAGTAAGTTCATTGAGGACAACAGGTCTTTGGCTACAACCACCTTGTTGTTCAGATGATCTCAAGAAAATAAAAAAATAAAATAAAAGGGAAGCGAGGAGGCTGAGGTCTCTTAACTTGAGAGCGGAACGGACTTTGGAGACAGAGTTTCACTTGGCCTTTCCACCCTTGACTTCCTTGCTTTTTGCCATAAATCTGACCACATCAGGTATTGTATTGTTAGGCACTTCCTTTTGGTTAGTGACCTTATCCTTTCTCTCCAAGCTTTTGTAAACCTTGCCTTTAATAATTTACCTTTTGATTTTTATTTCATGCTTATTCTATGACACCTTAAAGTGAAGTTGTTTGAGAATCCAATATATCTGCAAATAAGTCAATAATTAAAGATACTAAAAGTTCTCTGCAGGTCCCTTGTCTCTACTTGACTCCTAAGAATTCAGTCAAAGTCTAATTGTTTTAAGCAAGAGTTGATATCTGGGCAAAAATTACAGTGAGAAATTTATTGTTAGGGAATAGTTACAGTCCTGAGCATTCTTCATTTTAAAGGAAGCTTTAGTATAATCTCATTAAGACATCATTATAGCCCATGATGCTATAAGTCTACTCGGAAAAATACTCAAGGATGAAAGTTAGTGAGGAGGTGGAGTAGGTTTATTGCAATGGAAAAGAATAGTTCAAAACTAAGGAAGAGGTGATGGTACATACCTTAATTGTACCACTTGGGAGGCAGTGGCAGGTAGATTGATCTTTGTGAGTTTGAGGCCAGCTTGATCTACATAATGAGTTCCAAGAAAATAAGGGCTACATAGGGAAACCAAAACAACAAAGCAACACAACAGTAACAATAACAAACGAAGAAAGACTCATAAAGGTGGAGGAAAAATTGAAATATTTTAAGACCCCGTATTTAGCCTCTTTAATGTAAAAAGCAAAGCACTTGTACTTAATGAATAGGATCTTTGCCTATTTTGCTTATTTGGTTTTACCAGCTCAGGGAATCCTACCCAGTAATTTCTTGATGCGTCAGACATAGCAGTTATATAATTGAAATGTTGTTCAAAGGCTCCTAAATTTGTCATGATCATGCCATGTCCTCTGCTCCTTTTCTATTTGGATTCCAAAAGGAACAACACAGCCCTTCATTTATGATAGTGAACACTTACACACGACTGTTTTCCTGAGCATTTGAGGCTTGTGACTTTGAAGCCAGCTTCTGTTTTGAAGTACCATACTGGTAGAATCTTTTGAAGACCAAATTGTACATTTGTTTGTTTAAAGAAAGGGGTGTAATTAAACGCATTTTTAAGTTTTATGTTTTTTGTCATTTAATATAGCACAATTATATTAATGAATTTGTGATGATAATGAGATTGTAGGAACTGTGTGTAAAGTGAGGTAAATTTGGCATCTTACATTGTCTGTCCTTTTTGGTTAGAGAAGATCTTTACCATGTGCCTTGGCTTCAAGTTTATTTTACGTGTTAATTCCTTCTTAAACTTGACTATAGTAGTGCTGGTATTAGAAAATGCGTTCCTAGTTAAGAAGTAACACAAACAAAATAATGCTAGTAAATTATGCAGTAAGGCCTTATTATGACCTTAAAGTCTCAATTTTCATAATTACTAGCATATAACCATGGAGAAGTTCTGTAGTATTTCAACCTCATTTGTAAAACATAATTCATATTATTTTGTGGGGAGGATGAAATTAATCAGTCAATTGTTTGTTACTTGAGACAGGGTTTCTCTGTAGGATAGTCCTGGCTGTCCTGGAACTCTCTCTGTAGACCAGACTGGCCCCAAATTCAGAGATCTACCTGCCTCTGACTCCAGAGTACTGAGATTAAAGGTATGTGCCATCACCACCCAGTGAAATAATTTATTTTTAAAGCAGATATTTATTATGTGCCCCTGACCTAGTGGAGATAAAGTACTAAAAAACAGTATTGAGGAAAATTATGGAATTATGCATAAGAAATCTTTTGAGTAGAAATAATTGCTGTGGTATCTATGGTCCTTCTAGAAGATCACACTGATTCCAGTTTTGCTTTTTGTGTTTCAGGTGAAGAGTCATGTCAAGTACAACTTACTGGTAGCAGGCATTCGAAACATGCCACAGTGGGAGAGTTCTTTAAAATTGAATGTCCTGTTACATACTGTGCTCACAGACCTAATGTGACTTGGTGCAAGTACAGTGGAAGAAACTTTTTACCTCTTGAGATTGGACCTCAGCAACGCACTAGTTGGGAAGAAAAGCACCAGTTTTCAGTTTTTAGTCTCCATTTTGAACCAATATATCCCAGGGACAATGGGTTGTATATATGTTCTACAGATGTTAATTCTGTGGTTATTAATAGCCACACAATAGCCATCAATGTGACAGGTGAGTACTCTACCCTAGACTATCTATAGATTTTTTTCATTGTTCTTCTTTGAAAGAGGTAATTCAGACTTTGGGGTGCTTTGACTAGACGTTGGAACACTTGCATCACTTCCACAGTCTACCACGTCTTCCTGATTGTGACAGTCGTGAGGACATTGTGTTTGTGTAGGGGGAGAGAAGGGTGAGGTCAAGAACAGTAGAGGAAAAGTAATAGAAATTACTGGTACTTTTTGAGACAGGCTATGGCTGTTCTGGAACTCTCTTTGTAGACCATGTTGTCATGGGACTCACAGAGATCCACCTGCCTCTGCCTTCTGAGAGCTGGGATTAAAGGTATGCACCACCACATCAGGCCTTCAGAAATTAAAACATTTATTTCTCAGGTTCAAAAGTGATCATAATACCATTGCTTTCTTTTTTCTTAATTGCTTTCTGTTGTTGAGTTTATTTGATTAGAATTTGTAGAAGTTATGTTCATATAAGCAGAAAATGTGTAGCATGAATCAACAAAGAAATTAAAATGTAAAAATACTGGATTGTAATCAGCTTGGAAGACTCACTATTATAAAGATGACAGACCCCAAGATTGAGCACTATCTCCATCAAATCGTACTTAATTCTAAAATTCACATCACATTGTATAATAGACCCTGAGTAGCCAAAATAATTTGGATAAAGAAGAGAGTTAGAAGATTAAGACTTCTCTATTTAAGAGCTCATTATTTAACTCTAACTATTTAAATACTGTGGTGAGATCAACATAGTAGAATTGAGAGTTTAGAATAAAATTCTATATGTGATCAATTGACTTTTTATATTACCTTTATTTTCTGTATGTGGATGTTTTAGCCTGCATGTATGTCTGTGTTCCACATATAAGACTGGTGACTCAGGGACTGGAGTTACAGATGATTTTGATCTTTCATGTGGGTTCAGGGAATTGAACCTCTGTTCTCTGGAAGAGCAGCCAATGTTCTCAACCACTTAGCCATCTCTACCATTTCTCAATTGATTTTTGTTGTTGTTGTTTATTTTTGTCTTGCTTTGCTTTGTATTTGGAGACAGTGTTTCACTACGTAGTCTTTGCCAGTCTGAATTTGATATGTAGACTAGGCTACACTGAAACTTACTGTATCTTCTTCAAAATACTGGGCTTAAAGGTATGTGTCACCTTGCCCAAGGCCTTCAGCTGATGTTGGAGAACTGAGTTAAAATCATTCATCTGGGAAAGAAAAGTCTCCTTTAACAACGGTATCTGGGAACTTAGCTCAATGGTATACCTCTTATGTCCCCCACTGGAGGCTCATGATTTGATCGCTAGCACTGAAAGGAAACAATATTCACCAAAAATGAAAAAGAAAGAAGGAAGGAATAATAACTCCAGCACAAACGATGTTGCGACACAATTGTTTAGACATATGCCAAAATTGAATTTGAACCTTCTGCTTCATGTAAATAAGTAAGTTTGCAGGAGAGGGAAGAATGTGTCAGAAGAAAATGATGGGGGGGGCATTGGAGAGGAGAAAAATTCATTATTGGAATTGTCAAATAAGGAAAAAATCCTCAAAATTTATCAGAGATTTAGAAAAAAGAAATTAAACTACAAAACTACTTTTACATCAAACCACACATCTGCATAGAGAAAACTAAGTCTTGATCTTGGGTTTTGTAATCATTTCCTAGATACGATTACAAAAGCATAAAACAACAGTGAAAGAAGATGGAGTAGACTTTGCCACAATTCAACACAGTTCTGCATCAAAGGACATTATCAAGAGTGAAAAGGCACTCACAGAACATGAGAAAGTGTTTGTAAATCGCATGCCTAATGAAAGACTATTGCCCAGAATACTTAAGGACCCTCTAGACCTTTCTCCCTACCTTCCTGGGTCATTTCATGGAGCTGAGCAGCCCTACTTTCCATTGCCTTATCTTTGTGTGTGTGTGTGTGTGTGTGTGTGTGTGCGTGTGTATGTGTGTATGTGTGTGTGCATGTGGATACAAGTGTATATGTATATACATGTGTATGTGGAAGGCAGAAGCTGACATTTGATGTCTTCCTCAATTACTCTCCACCTTATTTTTTGAGACAAGGTCTCTCAGTGAACCTGGGACTTAATTGAATTGTTAGGCTGGCTAGTCAGTGATAACCCGAGATGCTCCTGTTTCTGCCTCTCTAGCATTGGCTTACAGACAGGAGCTATCATACTCTGTCTCCTATGCGGATACTGAAGATTCAACATAGGTCCTCAAACTCACACATGTAACACATCTTCCCAGGTCCAGTCTTATCACATCTCCATCATCATCCTTGCTATGTCATTCTTACCCACTTCAGAATATCTGTGCTTACAACGCTCACAATTATACCTTTGCTTTGTAAGATCTATGTCTCTCATTTATCACAATTTCCTTTCCCTGTGCATTATATAAAAACATGACAAGTTCCATAACAGTTTATAGTGCCTTACAAAATCATATCTTGATTTGGGGTTGTTTTTCCCTTGTAGAAGTCAAGTACATTTCTTCTTAGGATTAGTTTAAATTTTAGCTGAGTACATAGTATCCTTTAGGGAAATGGTGATTACCAGAAAAGCATAAAAATATTCCTTTTATTTTTGAACCCACGAGTGCTTAGGGAACTGCTTGTGAAATATGCCTTAGAACTATGTCCAGGCTCATAATTAGTACAATTTGGAGATATGATACTAGTATTTTGTTTTTCCCCCCTGAATATCTTTCTGAGGGGATATTGGGAATGGCCCTTTTTTGCTTCTTATGTTCACAATAGAAATTGGTTTGTATAAGGATAAATGTGGACAGAAGAAGATGTGGGTATTCTTGAGAAAGTATTTGCCTCCTAGAATGAGGAAAGGCGCCTTGTGGAACAAAGCAGGGTCCATGGAGGTTGTCTCACAGAGCCAGGACTACAATGTATACATTGATGTATAACTCCATGCCTCTCAATTGTCCCAGGTCAGTTTCTGATTGGGAACAGCAGGAAAAAAATGCACAGGTCATTGTGTAGGGGGATGACAGTTGAGTGAAAGGCAGGAAGTGAGAGACACAATCTTTGTTTCAGAATGAACACCTAGCATGTCACCCTGTGGCCACCCATAGTCTCAGGAGCACCTGTGGGTTGCATGTTTTATTATATTGCAGGTCTATGTGTCCTCATGCCTGAGGAATGAGGAAGGGAGAACCAAAGAGTCAGATGAATGTTATACTATGTTGATAGTAGTCTCTCTTTAGGCTTGAAAAGAACCTCTTTGCTTTGTGTACCATGATCTCAAGGTGAAGATCCATGCATTATGCAAGCTGAACTTGGCCTGGATTACTGGATTCTCTATTGTTGTGGCAACACTGGAGTCCTTTTTATGTAGCTCTGACTTTAAAGATAACTTTGAGTATCACCTTAGTGTTTTCTCAATCCATTTTACTACTTAATCTTGTTTTCTATTTCAGAAAGGACTCAAAATGATTCAAAGCATCATCTAATAAGTAAGTATCAAACCAACCAAAATTAGCAAGTTTGTTTGATGTTCAGATAAATAATAGGAATAAGGTCTTCTTAATTGAATGTGTTTGTATTAGATTATCTTTTGTTTGGCATCAAACTGCCTCCCCCCAGACAGCTGTGTCTGCTTCTTGGCTGCTTGCCCGACCTAAACAGCAGCTGCAGTACATTTGCCACATTCTGTATTAGTAAACTATATGCCCACTGTATGTCCCCTTCAATTGTTCCTAATTGTTTTACCCTCAAAGAAAGGATCTGGGGTTGGAGGGGTCACACATATAATTCAATGCTTCACTTCACTGCTTTTGATACTGTGTTAACGGTAACCCCAAAGAAACAGTGCATCTTACATCATAACCCAGAATATACACACATTCAAAGCGATTCCACAAAAATCCACAGATAGTGGAGTTGTTTGATTTCTATGCTATGGGAATGGAGGAGTGCCCTATGCAGTGCAGGGAATTTATCAAGCCCTTGACTTCTCCTTAGTAGATGTGTACCCTTTCCCACCTTGTGATACCAGAAGTATCTCCCCAAAACAACACATGTTTCTGGGGGGGTGAGACATTTTCTGGTTGAAGACCACTACAATAGTATGTATTATGAATTCAGATGCTTTCTAGCTTGTTTTATATTATTTAAAAATACTATTTTTGATTCATCAATCTGGGTAAATTGCAACCAACCTTGATCAAACAGGGACCTGGTGAATTTTGACACTGATCAATCATAATGAGCACTAACTAGATGCTAGGCAAAGAATATTAGGTAAAAACAAAAGTACTTTGTATTGTTGATAGAACACAAACCAAGAGACTCATTAACCATGGAGTTTATTAAAGGGGGGGAGAGTAAGAGGAAGAATTAGAGAGAGAGAGAGAGAGACAGAGACAGACAGAGACAGAGACACAGAGACACAGAGAGGGAAGCAGGGAGGGAGGGAGGGAAGGAGGGAGAGAGACAAGAGAGCAAGAGTGGGTGGGGGTCTTTCTTTTAAAGGGGTCCTTTGCACAAGTCTGCAAACTAGCACTCATGGAACCCTGGGCTGACAAGAATACTGCCTGAGTGCATTATGCTGGGTGACAGGGGCAGGCCAGCATAATGCCTGAATCCTTACACTTTGTGTTTGGAGATAATGAAGACTTATAAGAGGGAGCAAAGTGTATCATCAGAAACCTGTTGGTGTGAATCCCAACTGCCATTCATTAGTCGTCTGTCTTTGGGCAATTTTTGGAGCAATAACATTCCTCTCAAGTTCTAAACCTATGTAAAGAAAATTACTTCCTGAGCACTGAACTAAATATATGAATGGAAGGACTTGGTGAAGTGGTTTGTGAGAACTGTCATAGAGATCTTTCTACAGATGATTCATTCAAGCATAATGTGAGATGTTCACAAAAGTTAAAAAGAGTGGGTTGATGGTACTGGGACCACCAAAGGAGAAAGAGACTGCTTAGCCTGTAAGTTTCTCCATTCTAATTATGACAATGCAAAGAGGTATTGCCAACTCTAATGCTTCTAGGACTTCTTAACTGTTTGCAGCAGTGTCTGACATTCCAGATGCCTTCAATACCTCAGGACCACCTACCATGGAAGAGAGGACAGGCAAGACCTGGCTGCTTTACAGGTTGCTTCCTTTGGTGGCGTTGCCTTTGCTGCTTGTGGGTTTCTGCCTGCTCTGTTTCCTGAAAAGGCACCAAGGTGGGTTGCAATTTCCCTCTGCCCTCACGTGCCTCATATTTTGGGGTTTATTTTCTAGAGTTGACAGTTTTTTTTAAGATGGCTAGTGTTTGCTTTCTGGATGATTCCTGGGGAACTACTGGATTCCACTAGAAAACTGAATGGATTAGTTCGGGCTCCCGTAGGCATGGTAAGGCGTACTCACCACATCACAATGCTAGCTAGGGTTGTAGCTAAGGGGACATATTTCTGGAACTTTCTCATACTATACACATTAATTTTAGGTGTGTACAAGAATGCTTTTCCCCAAACTTTAATCATGTTGAAATAATCTCTTGAATCAACATGTTTGATTTGAGTTATTTTAACCTTTTGAGCCCTTTCCACAACTCTACCACATAATTCCAACGATACACACCCTTATCTAAATAAAGAATCGTGGTCTCCCGAAGGATTTCATATGGGTTTATACTTTCTATGGCTGTCATAAACACATGCTTGAATCAGGCTTTTACTCAGTAGCATTGCATTTGAGAATGTGGACTTGCCTGTAATGAGAGAGTTGTTATATTTTGAAAATAGTTGCTTTTTCCTTTTGAAATCATGTCATTGTTGTCACCACTGAACAGTAAAACTCAGCAAGAGAGGCATGCTGATCTGGTTCGTCTATATTCTCTATTTCCTTGTTCTTCTCCATGTCTTTCCCTTCCCTTTTCTACAATATGAGCCACAGTGTGGCTGTAGAAACTCAGTGGGACAAAGCATCCCCTGTTTGACTGCCACAAGAGAAAGCTTTGTCTGGGCGGAAGTGCTTCTGGTGTTTTGAAGTAAGTGCTTCTGGATCCCAGAGCCTTTTCACAGTTATGAGGAACCCCCATGTAAACCACCTCTGCCTCTGTAACTACATAGCACAAGAAACTAGAATAATATTTATTGGTCATCGTATCCAAAGGGAATTGGGAACATGGATGTGACAAAAACCTTTGTTACATTTTTCTATTTTGGTTTTTTGAGAATTTCTCACATGCATAGAATGCAGTTTGATCATTGCCACGTGCTCCTTTTCTCTAACCCCTCCTAGATCTCCTTATATCCTCCTCCCAATCTCTCTCTCTCTCTCACACTCTCTCTCTCTCTCTCTCTCTCTCTCTCTCTCTCTCTCTCTCTCTCTCTCTCTCTCTCTCTGTGTCCCTGTCTCTGTCTCTCTCCCCTTAAGGTTTTTATTGCTGTGAAGAGATATCATGACCAATAGGAGTGGCTGGCTTACAGTTTCAGAGGTTCAGTCCATTATCATCATGATGGGGAGCATGTAGTGTGTAGGCAGATTGCTGCCAGAGTAGTAGCTGAGATCAATGGACACACTGAGTAGTATCTGGGGCATAGGAAACCTCAAAGCCCACCCCCAAAGTGACATACTTCCTCTAACAAGGCCATAGGCATTCCACCAAAGCCACACCTTCTGATAGTGTCACTCCCTATGAGATTATGGGGGCCAACTACATTCAAACTACCACAATATATATCCCATTGGGTCAACTAGTGTTGCTCATATACATATAGCTGTGGAGATTCACTGGGGCATGGTAACCTACCAGAGACTACACACATAAAAGAACTGGCTCTTTCTGTCCTAGCAGCCATCATCTGTCATCAGCAAAAGGCTGCAGGGCTCCTGTACTGGAATGCTGGCTGGCTTAATCTTGCACAGGTCTGTGCAAGAAATCACAGGTGTTGTGAGCTACTTGATACAATGGGGGACTGTTGTCCAGGAGACAGTTTTTCCTCAGTCTTCACAAACTCTGGCTCTTACAATATTTCTTCAGTGTTACCTAAGCCTTAGGGAAGGAGTATGATATAGATGTCTCATATATCACAGAGGTGGCAAAAGCATGTTTAGCATTGAGAATGCAGTGACTCCCAACATGGTTCTTTACTAGATCCTACTCCTTCCTCTTGGATGTGGAGACTGTTGGATGATGTAAGAAACGAATGCAGGCAAGTGGGCATGGGCATTCTCACAGGCCGAGGTGTGTGGTACATTCTAGCCAAGACAGTCAGCAAAGCAAAACTAACAATATGACTGCTGGCATGCAATGAAGTGGGCATAGTGGGAAGATAATTTACTTGCTTTCTTAACACCTTTTGATTACCCCCTTTTCCTTTTTTTTCAATCTTTCAGGGAAAGGAAAGAAGCCTTCTGACTTAGCAGGAAGGGAAATTAACCTGGTATGTTTGAAATATCTGTTAAGAAGGCATACGTATTTTATATTCTATTGTATGTATTTTTCCAGAAAGTTTATATGACATCAACACACATGCACAGACACAGACACAGACACACACACACTCCAGATTTTTCACATCAGCTGTGATTGTGTGCATAATACTTGCATAAGATAGGGCCCATAAACAATTTGGTATAGAATGGGGAGGGACTCACACAGTAGTCAATAATTGATGGGGGAGTGAAAACCTGTTTCAGTGTGGTCACTGTAAATAAATCATCACTAACATTATTGTTAGCCACCAAAATGAAATTCAATGTGTGAGAATCATAAAAATAGGAAGGGAACAAGTTGGAAAAAGGAAGGGAACTGGGAGGATTAGGAAGGGGACAATACTGAACAGTGGAGGGTGAATATGAGCAATCTATTGTAATACATGTATGCCATAGTAAAACATTATTATGTATAGTCACTATATGCTAACAAAAAATCCCCCAGAAAAGTACAAAGTTCTGATCTTATTTCAGATTGGCCCTTCTAAGGGAGTGGTTCTCGACCTTCCTAATAATTCAAACTTTAATACAGTTCTTCTTGTTATGGTGACCCCCAAGCATAAAATTATTTCCATTGTTACTTCATAACTGTAATTTTATTACTGTTATGAGTTGTAATGTCAATATTTTTGGAGATAGAGATTTGCCAAAGGGCTTGTGACCCGCGGGTTGAGAACCACTGCTCTAAGGGAATAAAAGTGGTTGTATAGGAAGTTCACTCAGTCATAAATACACTTTTGGAAAGTTAATTATAAGTCAACATGTTTATTTTTAAAGGAGCCTTACAACTGTCATAGGCATGCAAGGTAAAATGGCTGACTCTGTCTAACATTCTTTATCATCTCTGGCCACCACATTGTAGTGTACCTGCCTTGTGGCACCCACCACTTTTATAGTGTCACAGGAGAACTTCAGGTGCAAAGAACATGTTCATGCTAACAGAATTTTACATGAGATGAGACATTCTGATGAAGGGAATCAACTCAACTGAAAGACTGGCAAAGATTGGAAAGTATAGCAGGGACCTTGGTGATATGCAGAGAATTTGCAGTTCTTTATCAATTCATTTAGCAGTCCTCTGTGGCCCATATGCAGGCTCATTTTGTGTGGGGGTACTTTCTATCTTAGCCAACCCACCATTGACTCTTTCAGACCTCCAGCCTTAGTGTAATTTCTAGGTACTCACCTATAGGAAAATTACAGCATATTGGCAGGTATTGACTCATTTCTCAAGTTAGGACTAGGCATGTTTTCAGGACAGAGCTTTCCTTAGTAGACATAAAAGAAATCCTGCAAATATCACATGAGACTTACCAAGGACCACAGGAATATGAATAGCCAAAGATGAAGAACCTAACGTGGCTGGCAAAGTGGAGATTTATAAAAAGTCAAAATTGACCCCTGGGGGAATGGATCAGTGGGTTAAGTACTCTGTGCAAGCTTGAGGACTGGGTTTGGATCCACACCACAAATCTAGGTGTGGTTGTATACATTTTAAAACCCAGTGGTGGTGGAGGAAGTGAAAGGAGGCTGAAGCAGGGTCTTACTGGCCCATCCAGCCTGGTTGAAATACTAGTGAAGTACCCGCTTCAGTGAGAACACCTTTCTCAACAAATATGGTAGTGAGGAATAGAGGAAGAAACCTGACATTGACCTCTGACCTCTACATGCACACACATGGGTGAATACACCTTACCCATCCACATACATGAAAATTAAAACCCTTTATATTAACACAACATCACAATTTTTACCATCTGCACTTTTTGTATAACCAGGAACAGTTAGCAAATAACTGAAAGGAGAGAGAAAATACGAGTGTTCACTTTAGTTTCCACAAATTCCCCTCTGTCTCATACCATTTAGGGCTCTGAAACTATTTGAAAGTATGATGGTTTTCTTGTGGTAGAAATAATAACTAGAATAATATTTTAGGACTTAATCCAAACTTTGTGCTTTCAATATTGGCTTCCATTTGCCAGTTTAGCTCTCTAATCACAATGTGTATTGGGTAACCTGTGAATCTTCCTGGTCCTGCTCTCCTGAGGACGTCTCAGATCTTTTTGCTTTGGCTTGATCTTTTGGTTTTCTATAGTCCATATGCCAATGTTTTATAAGCTGCCTAAAGTTTTTATGGGATTATTTTCTTTTCCCATGAACTGGACAGTGGTTTTTCCATTGAAAGAGCATCGTGTTTATGTTCTGTGACATCAAATGACCCATAATACAGCACAAAAAACTGATTGGGAAGAGCATAATGAACTTCAACTGTTGACATTTGGGATTCAGTGGTCAAGTACCTGCCTAGCACTCATCAGGACCTGAACATAACATAAGAAACAAAACAAAAACTCAAAACAAACAAAAATAAACAAACAAAAACCAAACAATGAATCAACACTTTCATCTTTTGATAGTAGAAAGCTTACTGCAAGTGTAGATATTAGGTAGCTTATAAGAGGAACAATAGATAGTCTATCTCAATGTGCATGACTTCAGGTAGTCTTTCACTCAGAGTCCAATAATGAACATGTTCTTTTACATCCTTACGTGGTACATCTCTTTTATCTTGTAGGTTGATATTCCAGTGAGTCCCAGGATAAATTCCCAGACACTTCTATCAGAAACTGGCATTTACGATAATGATCCCTGTTCAAGTGTCCTGGAAAGGTCTGAATCCACAACTGACTCACAATTGGAAGAAAATAAACAGGGCATTGTTTATGCTTCTCTAAACCATTCTGTTATTGTAAGGAACCCAAGACAGGCAAGCAACATCCAAGAGACACCCACAGAATATGCATCCATTTGTAGGAGAAGTTAAACCTGGCACTGACACACACACATTGCGTGATGGACTTGTCAATATCGTCTTCTGGGCCTGCAACACCAAATAACAACCTTCTTCAACCTGGGAATTTTCACATTAAGATGGTTTGTGCTAGGGTTGTGTCTTAGAGGATCATGGAATATTTAGTTAAAATTTCTTCTGAAAACTTTCACAAGAGTGAAAACTCATAGCACAAAAAGCAGAATAATATAATGTTTAAATTTGACCATGTCTTACCCAATGTGTTAATATAATATTCCTTTTGGAACTATCAGAGAGACTTACAGGGAAGAAAGAAGTGTGTTGTTTGGATCAACTCACTACACATTCTAGGAAAAGAATGGTTCAATTTGACTAACTATAAATATAGTAATGATTGTATGTTTCCAGTCAATCTTCTATGATAAGACAATTTCCCATGTCAATCTATAGCTAATGTTTTATTATCTTGAATGTAAAGAAAAATTATCTTGGACTCAACTTAGAAAAAGATTAGAAAGGGTCATTGGTGCAATACAGATATAGATTATTCCAAATAGATGTGGGGCCAAAGTGCATTATCCACTAATGAGATGCTTATCTCCACCCTGTTAAATTGAGAAAGTCAGGTAGTAAAAGACTCAATGTATGGTGAGTGCATTTGTAATCCAAGTGGTAGTGTTTGGGTCAGTTGAGTAATGTATGTGAATGTGATGGAATGCTGCTGAACTAGTATACATATGAACTTACAAACAAAAGTCAATGGCAATAGATATTGTAAGGTGAATCCACACTCAACTTTTAAACCACCTTGTGCTTTACCTGAGAGCAAACTCAAAGGACAGTTCATGAAAGAGTCTGGAATATTTAGTTGATCAGTAGGGGTTTGCATACTTTCATTAATGTCTGTTTCTTGCTTCTTATAAAGAGAGTCAGGGGCCGGGCTGTGGTGGCGCACGCCTTTAATCCCAGCACTCGGGAGGCAGAGGTAGGCAGATCTCTGTGAGTTCGAGGTCGGGCTAGACCGATAGCCTCCAAAACAATACAGAGAAACCCTGTCTCGTAAAACCAAAAAAAAAAAAAAAAAAAAAAAAGAGTCAGGACGAATCATATGTAATGAAGTATGCCATATGGAGATCATTCAGGTTTAAATTCTGACATTGTAGCTGCTTGAGAGGATAGTTAATTTTCAGGTGTTCTGAATTTCCAGATTACTTGAGTCTAATTATTTAAAGCATAGCTCATAATTTTTATTCACCAGCTTGAGGCTTGAGTTCTCAGACTTCTGAAACTGAATAGTGTCATCATTTTAGTACACAGTGGATGCCAAGAGTTAGAAGCCACTAGAACAAACACATGAGCTGCTAGAGTGAATGTGGTCTACATAATTGGGAGTGTGTGTTTGTGTGTGTCTGTGTCCATGCATGCTATTGTGCAAATGCAAGATGTGACTAACAGAAACATGACAAAAGAAACCGGATTGCCACCCTGTTTTTAGTTTGCTTAGCAGGTACAAAGCACTAGAACTAAAGAAAATAAAGTCTCAAATGGTGAGAATATGAATGTGAGTAGAGAATGTATTTATAAACAGAAAATGAAGAGACCTTATTGCAAAACTTTTCTCACCTATGGCTCATATCAGGTTTCAGTTCCCTGGATTTGGAAAAGCAGACACTGTTTTCAGATACTGTTGCAACCAACCCTAGGTAAGTTCTTTCGGCCAGGTGCAGTTTGCGGACATTTATGCAAAGAAAATGCCTTAGAATAGCTGCTTTAGCTGCTCCTCTTCAAAATAGAAACAGGAAGTATGGGGGATGAGCACAGCACCCTGTCCCTCTTTCCGGTGCAACGCATGAGTTAAACAATTCTATCAGGATTTTCTCTAACTTTAAAAACTAAAGTCTTCTATTTTGTGTAAAACGTGTGTGTGTGTGTGTGTATGTGTGTTTGTGTGTGTGTGTGTGTGTGTGTGGTGTATGCACACATGTTTGTGCAGTAGCCAGAAATGGACATCAGGTACCTTTTTCTATTGATTTCCACTTAACTCTGTTAAGGAAAGGTCTCTCTCAGTGAACCTGGAGCTAGGCTAGCAGGCAGCAAGCAAGGTGATGGATCGTTCTGTCTCTGTCTCCCACATTGCTAGGGCTAGAGTTGCTCATGCCCAGCTTTTTACATGGGTGTGGCACAGCCAAACTTAAGTCCTCATGCTTGCACAGCAAGCACTCTTACTTGCTGTGCCATCTTCTATGCACCCTATTAAAAATTCTCCTAGCCAGGCAGTGGTGGAACACACCTTTAATCCCATCACTCCGGAGGCAGAGGCAGGCAGATCTCAGTAAGTTACCAGAATGGTCTATAAAGAAAGTTCTAGGATAGCCTGGACTGTCACACAGAGAAACTCTGTCTTGAAAACCAAAACAAACAAACAAAAAAGAATGTTCCTATTGTATTTTACAGTGGAAGACCCTGCTAGAGATTTCACTTCTATGAATGGCCGATTATGTTTATGTTTGTACTGTGCTTGTTAGAAATCACATATCATTTATGCTTTTATTCCTACTTAGTAAATATATATATATTTTCCCAAATAATCTGTTTTAGGATTGTTTTTGTATTTATTTAAGTTACAATTGGTAGACAATTTAATGATTTCCATGAACTATAAGATTGTTGGTTGTTCCCAGTAAGACAGTAAATTTGTTAAAATTTACCCATAATTTAAGAAATGGCAACTTACCAGTGGTAAAATACTAAAGAAGAACCCTCCCACCTCTCACTTGGCAATCAACTGTTAATAGCTCAGCTGGTAGGAGCAGCCATCATAAGCCCCTTCCCCATCCATGAGGGACATTGATGGTAGCAGTCTTGTACAGTTCTTGCACAAGCAATCTCAGCTGATTTGACCTCATGGGTATTAGTATTCAGGCATCTGTACTGGCTTGTCCTCAGGGTTCTGACAGGATATGCCCTCAGCTGCAGCCACTAAGAGTACCACCTGTGCATAGTCGCTATGTTCCGTTTTAAAAGGGCCCTACCTACCTCCCATTCTTCTCTCTCTTTCTTTCTCTCCCTCTCTTGGTTCTGCTCTCTCTCCCAGTTTTTCCTCTCTCTCCCCTCTCTCATGCTGCTCCTGTTTCTGGAGGCTGGCCTTACCCCTCCACTTTCCCTTTTTTATGATCCCCTTCTCTAAAAAAATACTCTTTGCTTGAACCCTGTCCCATGGCATCTGTCTCTTGAGTGCTGCTTTTCTTAAATTACAACAATGGGTGTAATACTCATGTCATGTCTAGAGATCAGCATTTTACAACACTCCTTCCTATGTCCCACCCTGAACATTCTTTCCCCCTCCCTCTTCCTTCACCTTTCTTAAGCATTAGAAAGGGTGCTTCAGATGTCACATTTACAGGTGAGCACTAAACAGTCCCTTATTCTTGATCCTTTGACCAGCTGTCAATATCTGCATTGACCACACCCACCACAATAAGAAGCTTCTCTCACCAAAGCTGAGAAAGATACAGATCTATCAGTATAAAACCTGCTTGACCAGTCGACAATTTACTGAGCTTTTACTTTCTATTTTTCTTTTATTGAAAAGTTTTTCCCCCATACATTATGTTCTGATTGCGGTTTCCCCTTCCTCAATGCCTCCAAGACCCTCCCCATCTCGCCTCCCATGCAGACCTACACCCTTTCTGTCTCTGCTTAGAAAACAAACAAGCATCTAAAGAATAATATTAAAATAACACAAAGACAAACAAATCAAAGTAGGACAAAACAAAAGAAAAAACACAAGAAACAATAGATGCAATGAAACACATATTCACACACATAGTAATACCATGAAAAAACAGAATGAGAAACCATGATATAAACACAAGTGACCTGTAAGTTTATAAAAAAAACCCTGACAAAATATTATGAGACACAGGGCCTCCAAAGATTCCATTGAGTTCATTTTGTGTTGTCCATCTACTACTGCTGGGCATGGGGCCTGCCCTTAAGAGTAGTTTGCATATCCAACGGTAAGATACCATTGGAGAAAACTAATTTTCCATTTGTGCATGGTTATCGATTGGAGACAGTTTCTGCATTAGGGATAGGGCTTATACCTATGTCTTTCAGCCCAAGAACCCTATCTGGTACAGAGCAGTTCAGCCTCTGTATATGCTTGCTACCTCAGTCTCTGTGAGTTCATATGTGTGTCTGTCCTGCTGTGTGTAGAAGGTCTTGTTTTCTTGGTGTCCTTTTCCCCCTCTGGTTCTTACATTAATTTTGCTTCCTCTTTTGCAAGGCTCTCTGAAGGGAAGGTTTTACGGAGACAACCCGGTTAGGACTGAATGTTTCAAGGTCTCTCATTCTGTACATATGTCAGGCTGTGGGTCTTTGTATCTTGTTCCCATGACCAACACAAAATGAACTCAAGGGTATTTTTGTAGACTTTTGTCTCATATGGAATTTTTTTCTTTACTGATATTTTACTTGTATTTTATAGTTTATGATTTTGTCTTTTTATGGGTTTTGTTTGTGTTTGTGGATGTGTTCATTTCTTGTGCTTTTTCTTTTAAAATTTTTCTTTTCTCTGGTTTATTTTTTTGTTTTTTGTTTTTTTTGTTGTTTGTTTTTTGTTTTGTTTTGTTTTGTTTTTGTTTGTTTGTTTTGGTTTTTCGAGACAGGGTTTCTCTGTATTGTTTTGGAGGCTGTCCTGGAACTCGCTTTGTAGACCAGGCTGGCCTCGAACTCACAGAGATCTACCTGCCTCTGCCTCCCCTCTGGTTTATTTTTTAAAGAGATAATGGGTGTAGAGTTCAATGGGTAGGGAAGATCTTGAGGAGGGGAAATCATATCAGAATATATATATATATATATATTTTTTTTTGGTTTTTCGAGACAGGGTTTCTCTGTATTGTTTGGAGGTTGTCGGTCCAGCCTGGCCTCGAACTCACAGAGATCCGCCTGCCTCTGCCTCCCGAGTGCTGGGAATAAAGGCTTGTGCCACCACTTCCCGGCCAGAATATATTTTATGAAAAAATATTTTCAATAAAACTATATAAAGAATTAAAATAGTTAAAAATTAAAACTTTTCATCAGAACAAATATTAAGAAGAAAGTACAGAAGTTTCCCATATGTCATTTTTTGCAATGTGCACAGCTGGCCCCATCTGCATTCTGCAGGACCAGAGACTATTAAATGAGAACCAATGTTGAGATGTCATTTGTCAATCAAAGTCTCTACAATGTGCCTTAGGGTTTAACCTTGGTACTCTTTTTCTATGGAGTTTAGACTTGTAGAATGACCTGCCCATTATAATGGTGACATGAGTAATAACATTATAGACATTTCCCCCTCACACACTGTGTTCCACCTATCTAACCCTTCAGTCCTCGTAACTCCTGGAAACTGTATAACCTATGTATTTTGTCTGTAGCTTTGCTTTCTTCCAGAACAGTTGGGGTCACATTCTGTATGTTCTTTCACACTGGCTCTTAGATGCAGTAACACGTTTTAGTTCCTTCATGGTTTTCCATAGCTTATTAGTTTATTTCTTCTCAGTGTTGAATGAGATTTCATTGCTTGGATAACTTATAGTTTACTCAAGATCCTTCTGAAGGAGATCTTGGTTACTTCCAAGATTTTGGTAGTTTTGACAAGCTATAAACATCCGTGCAGAAGTCTTTGAGTAGGACTAAATTCTTATTTCATCTGGATAAAAGCCAAGGAGCATGATGGCTGGCCTGAGGTTGTGTTTACTTTTGTAATAACTGCTGCAGTGGCTATGCCATTTTATACTCCCACCAACTTCCTATCCAACATTCTAATGTTTAGCGATAATATCTCATGGCTGTTTAAGTTTTAAACTCCATATTAGTATTTGTCCTCATCATATTTTATAGGCTTATTTGCCTTCTCTGTATCTTTGGTGAGGTATATGTTCAAATGTCTCATCCCAAACTATAGTTCATCTTCTTATATTCATGATAATCATGGAACATATTTGGTATGATGGCTACCACATTAGACTGCTGACTTAAAAATTATTTCATATGTATGGGTGCTTTGCCTGCATGTATGTATATGCATGCAAGCTGTCTAGTGTTCATGAAATCCATAAGAGGGCATCAGATCTTCAGGAACTGGAAACACAGATAGTTGTGAGCTGCCTTTTGAGTGCTAGAAATTGAACCCATGTCCTCTGGAAGAGCAGCCAGTGCTCTTAACATCTGAGCCATCTCTCCATTCCTATCTGTGGGTTTCTTTTTAAACGTTTTTTTTTTAGGCCTCCCATGGATATCAGCAAAGCATGGCCTATAAAGCTGCAGTAAGATTCAGCACTTAGCCTTGTATTAAGGCTGCAAGGAGACCCAGTATGAGAAATTTCTCTCCATCTATGTCTGTCTGTGAGCTTCTTAGGGGTAAATATTGTCACATTTCCATTTAGTTTCACAACCCAGTGCTTGGCATGTATTATCATTAAATAGTGCTGAGTGTTTGTGAAGCAAACTATCTACTTTCTCCACAGGCAAAGGATGATCTTTATGCCAGAAGCATAAGATCTTTTGGGAGCCAAATTAGTAATGTGAAATTACACTCTGAACACCCTAACCAGAAATCTGCATCTGAGTAAAACCCCAGGAGGGATACATGTACTCTGCAGCTCTTACAAGTCACTGAGCCTTTGTGAGCCTCTCTCCCCATGCTCAGCCAAGTGTGGTAAGAAGCAAAGGTACATTTATAGGAGAGATGAATCTAGAAAGTTCTATTTCAAGTGGGTACAGGAAGGGCCTCACCACCCCCACTCAGAAAGTAAAAAAGGCAATTAAGAAAGAAAACACACTTTTTTTTAAAGAAGCTTGTGCCAAAGAACTTGAAAATATGAGAACTGAAAGCTCTGTGCTAGAAATCAACTCACAGCCTCATAGATGCTGATTTTCAAAGTGAGGCCCTGTTCAGAAGTCAGAACCAGGAAACATTCTGTGTGCATTGCTTCGCCTGCGTTTCTGAACACACACTTGCACCTACTGACTTACTGGTTTGAGACTACCCAATGGACCAAGATCCTATTCTGAATGACACTGCATACAGATGGAGTGGCTACAATTGAACAAAAACTGTAACCCAGCAGCTAAATGAGGTCATAAAGGTAGGTACAGAACAGTGGAAACCCCATGCAACTCTCAGACCCTTGAAGGTAAAGCTTGTTTCTTTACTAGAATCTTCGTTCTCTAGAAACTGCCTGGAGAGTTTAAAGAAACCATGCCCCATATGTACTGTTTTTTTATTTTTTATTTTTATTAAAATAAATTATGTCTTCCAAACATGCATGCATGCTTTACATATCAGTCTCAACTCCCTCTCCCACTCCTCCTCCCTTGTTCATCCACCTCCCCTCCTCCAGCCCCCATCCAATCCCCACATCATTCCCCAGGAAGTCTGTCATTTCATCCACAGAAGGACCTAGGCCCTTCCCCACGTGTCCAGGTTGAGAGAGTATTCCTCCATGTGGAATGGGCTCCCAAAGTTCAGTTGTATGCCATGGTAAACACCCAAAGCTCCAGAGATTTCCGAGGCCTCCTCACTGACACTACATTCATG